GACTCAACAATGGTGCCTGCACAGGAATAATAAGTATGGAAAGCCAGAGTTTTGGTAACAGCACTCCCTATTCTGATAGTCTGCATATATGAGTCACAGTCCAAAGCCTGGGGGTCCCCACGTAGAGAGGTGACCAAGATTAGCAAGAAGAATACATGGAATGGACTCATCCTCAAAGGTGAGATGGGCGACTTCTCAAGCTTCCGCAGTGACTAGAGCAGGGCTGACGTCTCCTTGTCTGTGGTCTCCTGTTGTCTTCTGGGAAGCAGGGTCCTGTCAGGGAAGGGTGCTGGTGTTTTGAAGGGTGATCTTGCATGGTGAGGCTGGGTCAGCACTCCCATTCGAGGGAAGCTGGCTTCACTTGGCTGTGGTGGATCTAGGGAATGATCTCTGCTACTTTAACTGTGGTGGGGGTGGCCAAAACAACAACAAAAGGGCTCCTCCAGTGGGACTTCAGCTGTTGAACACTCCATTCCTTTACCCAAACAGCATCCCCTGGTTTATAAGGGTGCGTGGGAGTTGTCAGGCTAACGGGGAGTCTCTCTCTTACCCAGTCATTGATTTTTAAGAGAATCAGCCTGAGGGCTTGTATCTGCTGCCTCAGGGTGAAGTCACCTATTTCCTTAAGGTCCCCTTGCAGGCCCTTGATTAAAGGGGGTGGATGCCCAAAAAGAATTTCAAAACCCTTCTGTTTGGTGGGGCCGGACCTAATCCTGAGCAAGGCTGTGGGCAGCAACTGATCCCATTGTAGGTGGGTCTCCTGGCATAGTTTTCCCAATTGCAATTTTAGAGTGCTGTTTACATGTTTTATTTTCCCTGAACTTTGGGGACGGTAGGCTGTGTGTAGCTTTCAAATTATTCCTAATCCCTTAGCCATCAACTGTACCACCTCAGCCACAAAGGCTGGCTCATTGTTTGACCCAATAGACAGATATTCTGAATCAAGGCATGATTTCCTTTAATAGGCACCTGGCCACTTCTTGGACTTTCTCAGTTAGAGTGGGGAAGGCTTCCATCCATCCTGAGAAGGTACAGACAAACACCAGCAAATATTTACATCTTGGCCCTTGTTGGGAATTGTTTCTGGCACAGATTGCACCTATCACCTTACTTATGTTGGAGAGGTTGGGGACATAAAAATGCTGGGCCAAGGGTGGTCTTGAGAGCTGTCCACCCTGAGCGAGTTTCTTCACAGAACCATTTGACAAATGTGGGAGCCCATGACTCAGGTATGGCAATGCGGCATCAGTAAATTTCCACCATCTGTCTGGTAGAAAAATTCCTCCTTCAGTCTCAAATAAAGCCTGTTTTTGCAAAGTATACTATGGGTCCCATTTAGATAAGGGACACAGGAACAAGGCAGCTGTCAGTGAGGCTGAGGTTTGTCCTCCTGTGAGGGCTGTTCACCTGGCTTCCCTATCAGCCTTTCAGTTTCCCCAAGCAGCTGTCATCTCCCCCTTCTGGTGCCCTCAGCAGTGCATGACTGCTACTTGCTGAGGTGTCCATATGGCTTCTAGTAATTCCAAAATTTTTGTTCATATTTAACACTTTTTCCTCCTGAGTTAATGAGCCCCTTTCCTTATATAGGGCTCCATGGACATGAATGGTAGGAAAGGCATATTTAGAGTCTGTGTAGATATTTACTCACACTCCTGCAGCAAGCTTGAATGCCTGCATGAGAACAATGAGCTCAGTCAGAGGTCTCAACTGGCAGTGGTCCTGTTTCAATGACAGCTTCCAGAGTCACTATGGTATATCTGGCAAAATATGTGCCATCCCAGACAAAGCTGCTGCCATCCATGAAACACTCAATGTCCGGAAGACCGATAGGCTGATCAGTCAAGTCCAGCCGGCTGGAGAACACCTTCTTCATAACCTCTAAGCAGTCATGCCCCAGTGGGCCTGAGTCAACTGGTAACAGGGTGGCTGGGTTTAAAGTCTTAATGACCTCTAGCTGGATATGTGGGTTTTCACGTAGCATGCTTTGATAGCTGACCATTCAGGAGTTTGTTAACCAATAATTTCCCTTATATTCCATGAGAGTCAAAACAGAGTGGGGTACTTGACTGTGAGTTCTTATCTCAAAGTAAGTTTGCCTGCTTCAGCCACCAAGATGGCAGTGGCTGCAAGGGCACACAGGCAGGGTGGCCAGCCTCAGGAAACTGCATGAAGTTGTTTTGATAAATAGGCCACTGGGCAGTGCCAGGCACCTAGCAGCTGGGTCAAGACTCCTACAGCTGTCCCAGTCTTTCATGTACATATAGGAAGAAGGGCTTCATCACATCTGGCAAGCCCAGAGCAGGGGAATTTGTGAGTACCCTCTTAATTTCTTTAAAGGCTTTTTTTTTTGTCTCCCCATGGGTTCCTGTTCTCCCCCCACTTTGTTGCTTCATAAGGAGGTTTTTCCAAGAGAAAGTGATTGGGGATCCAGATCCAGCAGAAACCTGCAGCTCCTAGAAATTCTCTAATTTGTACAGTGGCACATAAGGGGGCGGGGACTCCTTGGGGTCCCCCACTAATATGGATTTCTCTGGCTTTTTACATTTTCCCCTGTACTTGGAAGCTGCTGCTGCCCTGGCTACCATAACCCTACATGCTTTCTCTAGGTGGGGCTTTAGCCACATGGGCTGACTGAGGACTGCATCCTGCCAGCAGTCAATGTAAGGAACTATCTGGGTGTTCTAGGCTTCCCTACAACCATTTCAAAAACTCTATTGACTATGACCTTATCTAGTGACCCCTCCAAAGGCCATCCTACACCAAAAGCAGGCCAGTCTATTTCACAGAAGGTCCTAAGCTTGCCAGGAGTCAGCTTGACCCCATTGTCTCCATTAAATCCCCTCTTAAAGTTCTGGGGGGGGGTGTTATTCTGACCTCCTCCCATTCCTCCATTTGCCAGACCTCAAGTCAGAGACAAAGACGGAAGGGATGAGGGCTGTGGAGAGGAGGTAAGGGGTCCTCCTCTCTAGCACACAGGGGAAAACAAATAGCACCACTCACTTCATCCATCTCTGGCTGCTCCCCTCGTGAGAATTTAGGCATCTCTTGGCCTTAGTGAGTCCGTATAAGCTCCAGAGTGGAGGCCCTGTCAGGGCTCACCCTAGACCCACGGATCAGGACTCTGCATTCACTTTGTAACCAGGCTGCCTCTCAGGCTCGCTCTTTCACACACTCACATAGCACAGTACTTCCACCTCACTCCCTGAACCTGCAAGACACAGTTTCACTCCAATAAGGGTGTTACTTGGGTGTCTTTGCTGGGAGTTGATCAGACTCCCCTTCTGCCTCCTCAGGCAGGCCTGAATTTGAACCCGGGTTCTTAACAGTCTGATGAGCAGGCCTCTGGGTTCGTTCCTGAGCCTTCCCATGTTCCTTTGTGTAACCAGAACTCACCTCCTTGGCTCACCGGTAGAGGGGCTCCCTCCCCTCAGATCAACATGGTCTGGTGGTGCCTGGCAGGGGTGGCCCTCCCGGCAGGCCAGGGCCACTGGGCTAGTGACAAGGAGGTAAAAACACCAGTGGATGGCTCAGACAGACAGAAAGGGCACCAAAGCTTTCAGGAATCAAGTTTATTAAGCAAGCTGGCAGAAACTCCCTTTCTTTTTGCATGAGACATTTCCAATCCAGAGAAGGAAATTTATACAGAGTAACACCGCAGACACACATGTCTCCAGATCTATGTTTGTTGTCTGCTCAGGCCACTGGAGGGTCCCCATGGCTGGGCGATCCCTGTGTACCCCTTTCTTCCTCCAGTGGGGCAGCCTTCTGAGGTCAGTGCTTGCCTCTCCTGTTGAGTGCTTCCTGCTGTCAGGCTGCCACTGGAGCCTGTCCATACACAGTCCGTAGGGGTGCACTGCAGCTTTCCTGCCTTAGGTAGAAAGCATGTTAGGTGTCTGAGCCCTGCAGCTTGCTTTCTCTTTGCTCCAAATTAGATTTGAAGCTCAAGTTTATTCTTTCTTTCTCACAGCTGTGGAGTCCATGGGCAGAAAAGACCACACGTGGTCAGGCAGCCCCTGAAGCATTAGGGTAACCATGCATCCACATTTGCCTGGGGCAGCTGGGTTTGTACATTTTTCCTTAAGTCCATGGCCTTGACCTTCACAGTATTTGTGCAGAGGTTGAATTGCTGGCTCACCATGGAGCATCATCTGCCAGGTCCCTGGGAACCCTGGTTCAAGCCTGCATTTATTCAACTTTTTCAGGACCTCTGTTCCCAGAGATGGAGGGTGTTATTATTGTAGTTCCCAAACACAGTGTGACCCACTCTCAGAGTTCTGTTGCAGTTCTTATGTGCGCTGAAAGCCCTAATCCAAGGTGGCCATCTGCAGCCTGGTCTGGGTCTTTGCTAGGAGTTGTGACTGTCCTTGGATGGAGGAATGGGTTTGCCCAGCTACCACTGCTTCTTGGGGACCCTGAGTCTCCCAGCTTCAGCCTGCTCACAACTTTGGCTTCTGTTCCACTCCTGGTCCTGGAGACGATTTTCCTTGTGAGGCTGGCACTGACTTTCTGTGCTATTTTTGCCAGTACCTTTCACTGTTCTGTGTTTGAAGCAGGGGGTTATTATGGTGGGGATGGCTGCCTTCTGACCTGATGCCTGCCTTTCTTCTTCTCCCACTGCTTAATCTTCACAGACAAGTCAAAGGTAGCCATTTCCCTCATGTGGGAGGTTTTACACTGCCTCACAGACCTCTGGTGGATCCCTGTGATCATGGCCACAGCTTTTTAACGTGGGCTTCACAGCATTGGGCCCAGAGGCAAAGGCCTCCCTGGTTCTGCCAGCTGCTGCCTCTGCTCATGCTTGGGGGAGGAGGAGAAGGGAGGGGCTATATTCTTGCCTTTAGGGATCCAACACACATACACACAGGCAGCTCCTGCCAGTGGCCATGCCAAGAGATGCAGGAACCTGGTCCACGCTCCTTAGGTCTCTGAGAATCCCTGGGCTCTCTTTAATGTTCACACATCCCATTGTTCTCCGTTTTCCCCACAGAGATCCGGCAGCCATGCCTCGCAGCCCGACATCCAGCGAGGACGAGATGGCCCAGAGCTTCTCTGACTATTCCATGGGCTCAGAGTCGGACAGCTCCAAAGAAGAGACCATCTATGACACCATCAGGGCCACAGCAGAGAAGCCAGGTGGTGCAAAGATGGATGAGAGTCAGAGCCACACACTGGTGATCCGTGTGGTCATCCAGGACCTGCAGCAGACGGTGAGCCCCTGTGCCCATGGCACTGACTGAGCACTGTGTTAGTCTGTTCTTGTTGCTATAATCAAACATCCGAAGTAGGCTACTTTGTAAAGAAAAGAGGTTTATTTTGGCTGAGGAATCTGGAGGTCCAAGGTCAAGGGTGTCATCTAATGATGACTTCCTTGCTGGCCGAGTCCCCAGGTGGTATAAGCAGTCACATGGCAAAAAGCAGGGAACTTGCCTGTGTCTGTGTGGTTGCTCTCCCTGTTCTCATAAAACCACCAGGGTTCAATTGTTGGGTTACACCCTAGTGACCTTAACTAGTCCTAATCATCCCCCAGAGGTCCCACCTTTGGGACCATAGTTGAATTTAGTTTTTACTCTCTCAGTACCTTACAATGGGGATTAAATTTCAACCCAGGACCCATCAGGGACACAAGGCAACATTCAAACCATGGGATTTCCCCACTGTGCTTCAGGCCAGGCCTTGGGCACTGAGAGCCCCGGAGCAGTCCACAGTCTCACAGGGGAGCCAGGCAGCAGGCACGTTGGCCAGCAGGACCTGAAGGGCCATGTGTGAGGTCTCAGCCAGGCCCAGCCTCTTGCTGGCTGCTTACAGCATGTGTGGACACCTGTACTGTTCCACACCTGTCTCTCTGCTCCTCTCTTCCCCACACTGCCCAGCCAGTACCCAGATGTCCCCAGGTCCTAGGCACAGTGTCCTGAGCTACTCCCTGTAGCCCCGGGGCTGCTGCTTTGCCACATGGGTCACCCTTTGTGCCTGTGGCTCTTGTGGGCAGCTTTGTCCCCCAGAGGCTAGCTCCTGGTACTTGGCAGGGGCAGAGGCAGGTTGGGTGTGATGGATGGCTGTGATGTGGTGGTGGCCCGTGACCCTGAGGATGCATACTGACTTTTCCTTCTGCATGTCGTGGGACTTTCAGGGGAGTTGGAGGCTGCTCTCCCTAGAGATGCGTGCTCCCAGTGCCTTTCCTGTTCCCAGGCAGGTATGGGTGTCATGCACATGCTTGTTGTTGGCTCTTTGCTGGTCTGGGTAATTGGTCTTGGCTGCTTCCTGCTCAGTGTAGTGACTCAGGGTTGTGCCCTCTGCTTTCTAAAATCACTCAGTGACTGGGTGTCTGTGACCAGCCAGGGCTGTGCTAGGCACTGGGAGGGGGTGATGGCGTGTGTGTGTGAGAGGAGGAGCATTGAGGGGTGATGCAGTGAGGGAAGAAGGGAAGGGGTAGTGGTCTTTGGGCTGCAGGTTTCCCAGTTCCCGAAGGCAGGATGCCTTCAGTGCGATGCGGCAGGAGTGTGGGGAGTGGGGGCTGGTGGCAGGAAGTTGGTGATCGGGGGTGGGGATGAGACCTGAAGTTCGTTTACCAGCCTCTGCAGACAGTGGAGAAGCCTTTTATTCTAGCTGGTCCAGGGCTGAGACCCTCGGAGGTTCAGAGTCCTTTCTAGGTGAGATGACGGTTTCTTCTGTCTCGTGGGGTCTCCTAACTGATATGTGCTTCTTCTCAATTAGATCTCATTTGCAGAAAGTCACTTAGGATCTCTTTGATCTCCAGAGCTAGGGCATAGAGATGAGCTGCCCTTCCCCCGAGCACGGCGAGCAGGAGGGGATGGACGTAGGGATGGCGTGGTGGTCAGGAGCATTTCCCTGTGGGCAGAAGCTGAGGTGTGTCTCCTGAAGTGGTTCTGCCAAGCCGAGCCCCGAAGAACAAGAGGGGTGCCTTTAGGGATGGTGGGGTAGCCCAAGGAGGCAGGGCGCTGTCAGGTGTGTGGGCTTGGGAAACGGTCAGGACAGGTGTGTGATGGGATTGGGGACGTGTGGAGCAGCTGGATTTGAGCGCCCCATTGAGTCTCTTCCCAGAGCCCTGAGTTTCCAGACAGAGTGGGGGACACTGTGCGTAGGTGACCCTAAGAAAGATGCTCTTTCAGAGGTCATCATCCCAGATCACAGCCAGCTGCAGCCACAGCGAGCACCTTGGCAGTCGAAATTCCCTTGTTTCTCTGGGTCTGGTGACCCCAGAGCCATTGCCTGGTTGCCTGTTGGGATGGGATAGCTACCACCTCCTCAGGGACTTTCTGCAAATGTGTGCAGGAAAGGAACAGCCCTGTGCCTTCTGGGTCCAGAGTGTGCTGGGGTAAGTGACCAGTTGGCTCCTTCATTGTTCACAGCAGGGACCGTGCCTCGGGCAGTCTTAGTGCACGGTGCTGGAAGCACAGAGGACATGGCGTCACCTGTGGCCCCTTCTCTGGGAGACATCGGCGGAGATGGCAGGGGTACACAGTTGGTGAGAGGCCCCTTTGCTGTGAAGAGAACACCAGGGCCATCAGAGTTAGGATTCCCAGGGCTTCGGGTGAGACTTCTGGCTGTCTCTGGGGTCCTTGGATTTTATAGTCCCTGTGGATGTCGGGGAGCTGGCAGGACCTGCCACAATTTAGAGTTGGATTAGGGAACATGGGGCCATGGGCTGGTGGTGAGATGGGATGGTAGCTATGACCTTGGAGGCTCTTGAGGCCTAGTCCTGGGGTCCACCTTGGATCAACCTGGAAGCGTAGAGCATCCTGGTCTATTGTGGCAGGAGAGGGTCTGTAAGCTACAGAAGAAAACAGCTGTGCTGCCTGCTGGCCACAGGTTGCTGCAACCTTGCAGCTTCTCTCACTTCCTTTTCATATCCAGGGTCTCAGCTTCCCTGTTCCTCTTGGCCTCCTGACTGCTCTTGGCCTCCGGGCTCCCCTCGGCCTCCCAACTCCCAGGGTTGGGTCTCCAGCAGGGTGAGATCTATGACTGTCCTCTTTCCTGGTGTGCCTCTCAGCCCAGCAGGGACTCTGCTAGTTCCAGCCTGCTCTCTCTAGGGAGGGCTGCTGACGGAGCTGAGGAGGCGTTTCCGCTGATTGTGCTCTAAGAACAAGATCAGCCCGGTGGCCTCTCCTTCCAGGGACACTCAGGGTGACCCAATGCCCAGAGCTAATCTGTAGCACTGCGACCCCAGGCCACACTGGCAGCACACGGTGGCCTTTGAGGAGGGTGTCATGGCTCTTGGTGGTCTTCTTTCTGTGTCATTTCGCACCTTTGTAAAGGTTTTATGTGAGTATGAAGACGTCAATTCCAGAAGAACCCCCATCCACATTTCATTTCTTGCAGTTTTAATTGGCCACAGTCTGAAAAAATTATAAGATAACTTTCATTTTCATATTTTGTGACAGTAATTCCATTTTATTGATAATTGTTGTTGCTAAATCCTCCTGGGTTATTTTGTAGCTTAAGCGTTACCATAGGTGTGTGTGGGGAGAAGAGCATTTGTAGGGTTCAGTACCATATGCAGTGCCAGGCATCTCCTGAGGGCTTGGAGCATGGCCCCCACAAAAAAGAGGGGAGACAGATGCAATGCAAAAGGTACAAATGCCAGTGTCAGTGGTTGTCACTGTCAGCATATGGTGGGTCCCATTCCACCACGCCTCTCCAAAGGGTTACAGGGAGCCAGTAGCTAGTGTTACAGCTAGAAATACACTGGCAAGGCTGGGCTTAGTGGCTCACCCCTGTAATCCCAGCTACTGGGGAGGTAGTGATCAGGAGGATCACAGTTTAAAGCCAGCAAGGGCCAAAGGTTAGTGAGACTCCATCTTAATAAGCTGGGTGTGGTGCTGCACACCTGTCATCCCAGCTACGTGGGAAGCATAAGTAGGAGCGTGGCTCAGGAAGACCCTGAGACCCTGCTTGAAAAATAACTGAAGTTGAGCTGAGGTTGTGACTCAAGTGGTAGAATGCCTGCCTGGCAAGCACGAGGCCCTGAGTTCAAACCCTAGTACTGCAAAAAAAAAAGAAAGAAAGAAAGAAATGCATAGGGGCAGACTTCATACACACTGCTAATAAATTATTATTCACATTATTTATTTAAAATTTAAAAACAAGAAGACAGTGAAGGAATTGCTGGCGGTTGTTTTTTGCCCCAAGAAAGACAGTTTTTCAAGGACATCTATGAAGAAGCAATTATGAAACTCGGCACGGCTAGAATTTGTTGTTTTCCCTTACAGACTTTTCTCCTTTCTCACCGTGCGTTTTTCTCTAGCCCCTAGGCGGCGGGGGAGTGGGGGGGTGGGTAAATTAAGCCGATTGTCATGACAGGGAGGCTGCCAAAGCTCAGGCGTTTGACAGGTCTGTGATGTTTCTCTTCCCTTCTCTCGTCCACTGGGGTCGGCAGGAGGAAGAAGTGGGAGTCTTGATCCACGCAGACTTGCAGGGACCCAGGCTCCTTCTGCTCTGTAGCCACGCCATTCCTGGAGTTCTGCAATCCACCCCGGGAAGGTGAGGGAGGGGAAGAGAACTCGGGGAGCACATCACTCCCCCTTTCCCTCAGGAGGCTGCCCTGCCCCTGGCTGCAGAGAGGCTGGACGTTAGGTTGTGAGCTCTGAGCCCAGGAAGGGTTGGTGAGCTGAAGCTGGCTGTGTGTGCACTTCCGTGGGGACACACGAGTGCTCACGTGCGCACACACGCACACCCCTCTCCTGTGGGCGCAGAACTATTTGCAGGTGGTCACTGTGAGTCACACTTCACATCCAGCCTGCTCCCCGTGTCCAGGGCTAAGTGCCCCGGGAAGTGTGCAGCCTTCACAGGGGCCTTTCCTTCTGTGGCTCCCGGTTCCATTTTACTCTGCACTGGATGCAGCTCGGTGCTGAGCGTCTGTCATTGCTGCTTTCAGGAAGAGTTCCCGAGGGCACTGCCTCCTCAGTGAATGCACGGTTGAACTTGCTTATTTGGGGGACTCGGGTTCTATAAATGACCTTGCGCTCTGTAAAGACACCGTGTTTGCTGCACGATGTCGGCTCATTAACATGAACTCGTGGCCAGCCGCACTGTAACTCAGGCTAAATCGACAGGCTTTAGCACTCTGCCGGAGAGGCGTTTTTAATGTCAAGTTATCTGACCAAAAAAACGTGACAAACGTGCCACTGAGTAGACTGAACAAGGACCCTTGTTTACAATAGGGAGCTGAAGACAGGGTGTCTCCTCATCT